GGACTAACTTGTTTGTATAAGATATAAGATATATATATATATATAGAGAGAGAGAGAGAGAGAAAGAGTTAAGATCATATGAGAATGGTTGATAGTGAAAGAAATAAGAATGATCATGCACAATTGGATGAGTTATATCAATGGACATGATGATGTCAAAAATAAATTAAATGGTCAAATCTGTAATGGCAAAATTGTTATTATGTTAATATCATATGGACAAATAAATATATATGAGGGTAGTAAAGTAATTTTGACCAAATAAAAAACTCAATGGGCCCCACCCATGTTAATTGCACCGTGCATTCACTCTCTCTTCTCTTCTATCTCTCTCCCATTTTATCTCTCTCTCTCTCTCACACGCACTAAATGGATCTGCAATTTTTTCGTCCCCCCTTCTGCGTGCCCGCCGGAGATGCATCATGCCGCCAATTTCTGCCAACAGCAGCCCGACGCCGCCTTCTACCACCGCAGTATCTTTATCTTGCTATTTCTCCATTTTCCCTTGCACAGACGGCCCATGTGCGCAACAAAATCCGACATTCACTCTACATTCTCTCCAGTGTCGCCTTCTATCGCTGTCGCGCTTATACATCCTGCCGCCGCGCATCTGCTGCACATCGTCGAAGACTGATGCAACCAAGTAGGCTCCGGCCGAAATAAGCCCGTCGTCTGCGTAGGTCCGTCGTCCGCCATACTCGCCGTTGCGCCTACAGCCTACTCGCCCTTCAAAATCCCTGACCTCCGCCGGACACAATGGCATAGTTCTCTATCTCCTTATTACTAAGGCACCATCTCGCCGAAAAAATAGTGTTGTATTTCCACAGCCGTCAGCCTCCTCAATGACGTAAAATTTTTGGCCGTTTTCGCCATTCGCCGGCAGACCATTGATGAACGTCCGCCGGTAGGCCGCTGATGAACGTCGGCAGTGAATGTCGCAAGCCGATTCTGGCAGCGAACATCAATGTGATTTTGTGAGAATATGGCAGCAGGAAGTGATTAAGTTTGGGGGTGGGCTCTTGAGAATTTGATTAGACGTAGGAACTTGATTACAATTGTATAAATTTTAATATATTACAATTCAAGTCACGAGTGAAATGTGTAATTGATGAAAAATATAATCATTATTTTAATGTAGGAATTTGAATAAAATTCTCCTGTGGAGAGCGGTTCTTTTCCTCATCGTCGTTTTTGATTGATCTGTATATGTTGCTTTAATCTTCCTTCCTTTTATACTTTTGATCTTTAACCGTAATATCCTTGCTTTTCCTATCATTCTTGTGGGATTGGTGAGGTTCTCCCTCTTTATTTAGGTTCATTGGTTTATTAGGGTTCTTGAATTTGGGGATTTTTTGATCTCCTTCTTTCTATGGGATCTTCCACGTGCATTGGCCAAGATGAAGAGCTTTCCCAACGTCTTTATAGCTTTTTTGTTATCGGACCGAGAAGCCCCTATCACTGAAATCGCTCAAGACGACATCAAAGCTAGCGCAGAAATTTGTCAACGCAGTCTATTTGGGAAAGTTATACGGGATCAGAAGGCCAGTTGGGTAGGAATCAAACGAGCAATGAGCAACATTTGGCGATTATCTCTGCCCATTGAGGTTAAGGAATTAGGGCACAACTATTTTCAGTTTCTGTTTCAAATCATAGATGATAAGGAAAGAGTAGCAAAAGGAACAAACTAGAATTTTGATAATCACTACCTCATATTAACTGAATGGTTCTATGGTCTCTCAATCAATCACCCCATATTTCAGGAAGTGAATTTTTGGGTTCAAGTATACAACATTCCTCTCTACTGGCTTAGTACAGCAGTGGGTCTGAAACTGGGGTCAGTCTTTAAGAAGCTAAAAAATGTAGTTGTGGTGGGTGCTGGGAGTCATGGAGGGCATATTCTTCGTCTTCTAGTCTCCATTGACATCACAAAACCAATTCCACGATGCGCAACCATCAGGTTGGGGGATCGGCTAAACACTGTTGGTTTTAAGTACAAAAAACTCGTAAGTATGTGCCATTATTGCGGTGTTATAGGGCATCTGAAAAGGAACTGTGATAAAAGACAACAAGACATTATCTTGAAATCTATAAAAGAAGGGCAATATGGAGATTGGTTGCGTGCTCCGGAAGGACAGAACTTTGCAAGCATGAGTTTATCAGATTCCAGAAGTCCTACATCCACTAATCCTACCACACCAACTCAACAATCTCCATTAAAATCATCTAGAAGCCAGGCTGAGGGGAGCAATCAAATTATGTTGCTGCAAGGAGAATCTTCTCACACACAACACCAGGAAGCTGAAGTCTCTACATCCTTTCAAGGAATGAGAGACCCTCTAAATCACCTATCACTGATTTAGTTCATGTTGAAGGAGCCAACAGAGAGATAGCACTGTAAGAATCATCTCCTCAAAATCCTCTCATTGCAGCTGAGGGTAACTCGATTACTTCACTCTCCAATTCTACTTCTCATGCTCATCAGACAGGATTATTGGTGGCTGCAAAACTTCAAATAGTTGAGACCTCCAAGAATATGGAAATTGAAGAAGTCTTAGCTGATGCTCTCATTCCTTCTAATTTACCAACTAGCAAATCTGGACTCAATACTCCTATTGCTAGTGGTATTGCTAGTGGACCAACTTAAACTTGGAAAAGAAACAGAAACAAGGATGGAAGACTTCAAAGGGAGCCAGCCCTCCCCATCTTCATTGACAAAGATATTGCAGCTAAAAGGCAAAGGTCAGATGAAGAATCTTAGTCCCAACAACAGGAGGGCCAAGATCCAGGTCAGACTGACAAAAATAAATTGAAATTGAACTTGGAAAATGTGGGGGTTGCCAGCCTTGAATGGCACCCCAATGACTAATGTTAGCTGCGGTGTGGAATTGTAGAGGGCTGGGTGGGCCCTCTACAATTACCCAAATCAGAGAGTCAATAAAGACTCATCACCCAACTTTTTTCTTTCTTTCTGAAACTAAGAAAACCAATGGCTTTGTGAAATCAGTAGCTAAGAAACTAGATTATGTTGACAGATTTTCTTTTGTTGACCCAATTGGTATGAGTGGGGGTTTGCTTTTGCTCTGGGATTCTAATGTAAATATTATTAATATTATGCAAAAATCCTTTTATATTGCGGTTGAATATGCTCTTGTTGCTGGCCCTTCTCAATGGGGTATTTTTGTCTATTTGATTACTTGCAAGCTCACAAGAATGCAGCAGTGGGAGGAAATAGAGAGAGATAAAGCTTGTTGGGGTTCCAAATGGTTTGCCATGGGGGACTGGAATGATATTCGGTATAAAGAAAATAAATCTGGAGGAAAAGTGAGAAGTGACAGAAGCTTTATAGGCTTTAACACCTTCATCAGCAATATGGAGATGGATGAGTTGCCTATGCAAGGCTACAGCTACACTTGGTGCAACTTGAGGGAAGCTGAGAGCCTTGTAGAATAAAAGCTAGACTGGGCTTTTGCCTCAACAGATTGGCTGATAGACTCACCAAATGCCACTGTGACCAACAAAATTAGAGGTGCATCAGACTATTCCTTGCTACTTCTCAGTCAAGGAAAAGGGCAACACAAAATACCTGCTAGATTCCACTTTGAAAAAAAATGGCTTAGTATGGAACGGATCAATGAAATAGTCACCTCAGCTTGGTCCCAGCATACAACAGGGACCCCTTTTTTCAAGCTCAAGGAGAAAGTGAAGAATACTAGAGTTGCCCTTCTTATCTGGAGTTCTAAGTTTAGTTTCAAAAACCAACAGACAATTGACTTGCTCACCAAAAAACTCGAGGTGCTTAAAGAAGACAAAACAGAATATTACTGGGAGCAATGGAATGCAATAAGGACTGAACTCAATGCAGCTCATAAGCAAGAAGAACTTCACTGGCAACAAAGGTCAAAAGTGAAATGGCTCAAGGAAGGTGATTCCAACACCAAGTTCTTCCATGCCTACACCCTCCAGAAAAGAAAGCAAAATGCTATCTCTAGGCTCTTAACTCCTTCTGGTTCAGTGCTCACATCTCATGAAGACATAGAGAACCACATTTCTACATTTTATTCTGAATTATTCAATTCAGAAGGCAGTTGGGATGGAGAGTCTATCATTCATCTCATTCTTCAGACAATCTCAGATGAAATGAATCAAACCTTATTAAAATCAGTTACTTAGGAAGAAGTTAGAGCTGCACTTTTCTCCCTGCTCCCAGAGAAATCCCCAGGTGAGGACAGTATGAATGCTCTCATTTTCCAACATTTCTAGAATCTAGTTAAAAAGGATGTCTTTGAAGCTATTCTCAGTTTTTTCCAATCTGGAGATATTCTAAGGTACTGGAATCACACTATCCTTTCTTTAATTCCCAAAGTTACCAACCCTGAAAATCTCTCACAATTTAGGCCTATCAGCCTTTGTTCTGTCATCTACAAGGTGCTCTCTAAGGTTCTTGCTCAGAGGCTTATGCATTGTATGCAAGACTGTATAAGTCCCCATCAGTCAGCCTTTGTGAAAGGGAGACAGCTTATGGACAATATCATTATAGCTCAGGAGGCATACCATTTTTTGAACAGACACTCAACAGGGAAAAATTTCTTTATGTCCTTGAAGCTTGACCTTATGAAGGCCTTTGCCAGACTTGAATGGCCTTGCTTACAGAGAATCATGCTTCAAATGGGCTTTAGTTCATACTTTGTGAAGCTCATCATGGTCTGTGTCTCCACTACAACAATCTCCTTCGAAGTTAATGGCAAGGTCTGTGGCTACATCACTCCTTCAAGAGGCATAAGGCAGGGGGAGCCTCTGTCCCCCTACCTGTTCATCATTGCAGCAGAGCTTCTTTCAGCCCTTATATCTAATGCCCAAACCCAGGGCCATCTCCATGGACTAAAACTCTCAAGCAATGGACCTGCAATCACCCATCTCCTTTTTGTAGATGATTCTCTACTCTTCTGTAAAGCTAGAGTTGACCAAGCCATGCAATTCATTTCTCTCTTGGACAAATACAGACTCTTCACTGGGCAGAAAGTTAACTTGCAGGAGTCTGGGATTTTCTTCAGTAGAAATACCCCCACAAGTTTTAGAGACAGTATCTGTGAAGTTCTTCAAGGAATTGTCCCTCATAGATCAACAATATACCTTGGGCTTCCCTTGGGCATTGGAAGATCAAAGAGGGAAGCTTTTGACTTCATCTTGTCCTCAATCAGAAATAAGCTTCGAGGTTGGAAGAACACACTCCTTTCTCCAGCAGGTAAGGAAGTTCTAATCAAATCAATCATTCAGGCTCTTCCTGTTTTCCCTATGACTTGTTTTAAGCTACCAGTTGCCATTTGAAAAGAAATTTCAAGGCTGTGTGCAGCCTTCTGGTGGAAATCTGGTGATAACTCTGATAGTGGAATTCATTGGAGGAAATGAGAGAGACTCACTCTTCCCAAACTCAAAGGAGGTCTTGGTTTTCATGATATAAGCCTCTTTAATGAGGCCTTGATCTGTAAACAGCTGTGGAGAATCACCCTTAACCCTGATATCCCCATTAGTAAGATTTTAAAGGAAAGATATTTTCCCAATGACTCCATTTTTAAGGCTGAAAGAACTCAAAAAAGGTCCTGGTTATGGCATAACCGGCTTTCTGTGATGCCAACATTTGCTCGGTGTGTTAGAATTGAAATCAGGGATGGGAACTGCACCAAGATTGAGGACTGCAATTGGGTGCCTACGTTGAAAAAAGCTCATCCCTCCCTCCTTAAGATAGCTAGAGGTCACTTGATTTGGGTTAAGTACCTTCTGCATGGCAATGGAACAGAATGGAACAAATGGTTGGTTGAGCAGGTCTTTGCCCCAGAGGAGAGTGTTGCAATTCTCAGCATCAACAAATTGAACCCCGCAAGGCCAGACAGACTTTTTTGGAGCCTTGAACCCAAAGGCCACTTCTCTGTTGCAAGTACCTATAAATTCTTGGTTGCTCTTAAGCTTCAGCAGATGGACATTCCAGAGACAAGTTCAAGTACCTTTCCTCCTCATCAGATGTTCAAAAGATGCTGGCAGCTGAAGATCCAAAACAAAATCAAACATTTCATTTGGAAATGTATTTCTGGGACTTTGCCAACTGCTGTCAATCTAAGGAAGAAAGGTATTGACATTAATGCTATATGTTCTTTGTGTGGAGATCATCCTGAAACAACAGAACACATTTTGTTTTCCTACCCAAGAGCAAGTAGAATTTGGGATTCTTCCCCAGTCCAATGGGATGGCCTACAACACTGCACCCATTCCTTTAAATATTAGTGGCAACAGGTTAGTTCAATCAAACAAATTGATATTGTTAAAGCTAGAATTCAATTGTCTACCTACTTGGTCTGGTGGCTATGAAAGGCCAGGAATCTCTGGATCTTTAAGAAGACAACCATGCCTGAGCACATAGTTATTTCTGCAGCCCTCAAGGACTGGCTTGAAGCTTCTTCTGTAGCAGGGACCTATGATGCTTCCTCTTCTAGTTAGGTTTTCTTTTTCTTGTTATCTTATTTTGGTCTTGGAGTTTGTTTAGTTTTTGAAGTGATGTATTCTAGCTAGGCCTTATGGCAGTGGAGAGATGCATTTCTTCTTTAGTTGGTTTATCCTTTGTTTTTAGTTGTTGATGTTCTAGATGCTTTGTGTAGCATCTCTCTGTTTGTTCTTTCAGTTGGCTTTGTCTCTTGTATTGATACCTTTTATTGGTGTTTAATATAGCTCCTCTATCGTTCTAGCAAAAAAAAAAGTGTAGGGATTTGATTGCAATCACATAAACTTTTAATACATTACAATTCATGTCAATGATTAAATGTGTAATTAATAAAAAATTATAATTATCTATATATATATAAATGTATATATATATATATAATTGTTGGATAGCTTCATTAAATTGTATTCAGCCAACAATTAATAAAAATATAGTTCATTTAATAAAAATCTTTATGGCTCTCTTCAAAAGTCGTTACAATATGTTTTATTTATTTATTCTTTTCTTTAATTTGTTACATACAATTATCCATCTACTTTTTACTATATTTTGGGTTTGTAATGGTTGAACGGGATTACCAATTTTATATTTAACTTATAATTTTATTATTATATTTATAATCATAAACACATAACTTATAATAATTTAATTATATGTGCATGTGCATAGGATCAAATACTAGTTACATTAATAGTGTACTTATTGTATAATATAAGAAATATAAAATAATATGATTTTTAATTTGTCGGGTCAGTGAATATGGAAATATTAAAAAACAAGGAAGACATGAAATAAATGTAATTTTAAGAATAAACACAAATAATTGAAGCGAATTATAAACTTTCGAGTTGAAAATTTTAGTTGGGTCGATATTGTGAAATTCGATAGTCATTAATGTGCAATTCACGTAGCTTTATTGTGCATTGACAATACATAAACAAAATACAAACAATTGTTTTTTAATATTTTTATATAGTTTGGTCGGTTCAGTGATTTTATTTATTTTAAAAGTAAAGTCGTCATCTGAATTATCCGTGATTGTAAAAGTAAAGGCAGATAATTGAACATAAATATAAAATTGTTAACCGATAATTTTGATTATTGTTGGAGAAATAATTTGTTATTTATATTAAACTTATATTTAATAAGTTACTTATTTATTATTTTTATATTATTTTGGTTGAAAAAAATTGAGTTCGGTATGTTTCGTTTGCTATTTTGTGCAATCCAGTAGCTGTGAAAAAGCGAAACGTGCTGTTTTATAAAGTGCGGTGAGTTGTTTTATAAAGTGCAACATTATGATATATAAAGTGCGCCACTGTCATTTTGGTATGTTATCATGCTTATTGTTGGGATCTATGAGGATCTCGTTATGTACTTGTCACGAATTCAATAGTAAGCGTAAACATATGCGCAGAGGATCTAAAGGTTTGCGTAGAAAACTTACGGCTGAAAATTTATGGCGATCTGGCTGATCTTCTGGATGGTCGTACACATCACACCAATGAATAATTGACTGCAAATCGCGTCCTAGGGTTGCACGAACAAGATCGGATCGAAAACCAGATCAAACGGGTGCAAACGGATAAGACAAGATTGCAACCCTGGGAGATTTCGGCGGCGCGTGAGGGCCACCAACATAATATTATTACACTCTCTTTCCCTAGCCCATTTACAATTGAGACTCCAATAATAATTACTCGATTTATCTCCCCATGTTTAAGATATAATGTCCATTAATTAATTAGATTACTGACAATCAAGAATTAATTACTTTATTATTATTTCTTCGAAGCTAGCGCTCATTGTAGCACAAATTTTCTTTTTACCAAGTACCTAATCAAAAGATTCGTTCCCCGGGTCGATCTAACGAGGAAGGTGGTTCAGAATTCAACTTTGGTATTGAAAACACATAAAATGAAAGGAAATCCTAAACATTCTAATCAGATAAGGGGTTTGAATAATTATCAGCTAAAAAATAATAAAAAAATAAATCCACCTAAAAAGATAAACGAAGTAAAGATGGAGAAGCTAGGGAGTCGGGGATAATCAATTCAGTTCTATATGCATAGCCGGGACATAAATTATTCTATTCCAGATTGACGCACTCGCTTAGACATCTATTAGTTCGCTCCCAATAACTCTTCGTAACAAAGAATTGAACATAGATGAATAAACTCGAGCATACGCCACTGGCCAATTATCCCATCCCAATAACTTTTCGTAACAAGGGACAAGTCATCGACAAGTGCGTATTGCAACCCAAAACCTATAGACTATTCAATTACGAAATCGTCTACCTCATGTGAGCCTAAGTCTACGACTTCTCCCCTTTCGGTTCTAAAAGTCGCTAATTAGAAGAGAAGGTGTTCAATCAAATAATCATAGAAAATCAACAAAACCAAACTCGACAACTCAATATCCAATTGTTACCAATTACGAGATCGAAGTATCACCCTTCGATTCAAACTTAATTTCATCAATTCTGAATTAAATCAACTCACATAAGAACGAACAATTCAAGCCCGACAAAATGCAATTCTAACAAGAACAACCATCCCCTATCCCTAGCAATAAGAATTAGCTACGTAAAATTGATTCAACACAATCAATCATTCGCTCCAAATCAACCATTTTCATGAATTGAATAAAAAGAAAAAAAACTTACAATTAATCCCAAGTTCAAGTGTTGAATTCCAAATACAAGTTTAATCCTTAATTATTGAGAAGAAGAAGAAGAAAAAAAATGGAAAAGAATGGTGAAGAAAAGAAGGAAAACGATGGAGAAGAAGAAGGGAGAAGAAAGGAGATTTGCTTCGTGTTCTCAGACCTAGGTTTTCACCCGGTCGAGATATGTCTCGAGTCTCAAACAAGTTCTCCTTTATATGGTTCGACAAAATGAGCAAAAACGAGAGAGAACGAAAAAAATAATTCTGCGCCCGCGACTAGGCCTTAGCGCCGCTAAGGGTCGCGGGGCATGGGCGTCTGATGGTCGTTATGGGCGCGCTTCGCTGGTAGCGCCTCTAGCATGGGCGCGCCTCAGCGGCGCTAAGGGCATGATTGTTTATAAAATATTTCATCCAAAATATTTCATTTTGGTTAACTATGGTTAAAGTTGAAAAAATAGTGTGGTTAATTATTAGTGGGATTTAAAAAATGTATTAAAATAATATTTAAAATAAAATGATTAAAATTGATTTGATATAAAGTAGAAGATAAATGATTGGAAATGATTGGTAGTTAAAATTATGTGAGTGGATGAATAGTGAATTAAAGTTGATGTGATGTGTAAGAATGATTGGTTTGTATTATTTAATTATATGAATAATATTAAAGATAGTGGGGTTGAGTTAAAGTTGAGTTAGATTTTGAGTTGAAAATATTTGAGGTGAAATATTTTGTAAACAATATTAAAGATAGTGCGGTGCTAAGGCCTGGCAGCCTTGCACGGTTTCACGATTTGGGCTCGTTCGGGCTCGTTTGGACTCAGAATTCGATTCCGCTTTTTCCTGTGTGTTGCCAACGAACTCCTCTATTTAGTTATGCTTCCATAATAAGCTTTTGCCCATAATTAGGTCCTTCCAAAGCTTCAAACCTACACACCATAAACAAAGAAAAAACAGAAAAACACATGAAAACACAAGAAAAAACCAAAATAGATCAAATCACGCAATAAACTACAAAAACGAATAAAAC